ATAAGTTAAACCGCAAACCAGCGCAACTCAATCATTTGCGCGCGCGACTCATTGAGATGCACGCGGCACCCAGCGCGACTCAGAGAGTTGTACGCGCCACCTGAAGGCGCGGCTCTAAAACCCTAAACCTAGATCCCTACGCCTATAAATAGGGGTCTTCGTTCAGCATTACGGGGACCGGAAAAATCAGAATTAAAACCCTGTTATTCTCAAAACCCTAATCTCTCTACTTCTCCTACTATCATAATAATTTTTCTTCTCTATTCCCAAATACTTTCAAACCCTAATTGATTCCATGAAGTCCTTGGAGGTACGAAGAAGAAAGAAAGTCCATAAACACATTAAAATGGGGATTTAACATAAAAGAAGAACGGTTAGTTTCCTGAGCACTTAGATAAATCACTTTTCTTTTATTTTTTTAAATAACTTTAATTTATTAATTAGTGTTGTTTGATCACTTTAAACATAATATTAATTAATTAATTCACATAGTATTCTTTCGTTAATCAAGACTAGAATTTGAATAATTAATTGTTGTTTTATCACTTAAGACAAGGCGAATCTTGTTTATTTATTGTTTTGTCACGAATATTATTAAATGAGAATAACGAATTTTGCAATGTAATTCCTATGTGATTAATGCTTGTAAATAAAATCAACTAACATAATTTTAGGTATCACGTTGCACATATTGTTTAGTAATGAAATTGTGAAAAAGGAAGAGCTAGTAGAGGTCGTACTAGGGATAGAATAGTGATTCCTCCCTAAAAGGAACGGTAATTTAGTAACCTCGCTCTCGAACTCATTTATGGTTTATGTAGACCAATTTAGGCATGGGTAAACTTATGATTCGTGCTAATTATTCCATGAACTCTACATGGACGAAAGGCATGAACGAGGTTTATGAGTTTTCCTAAAACTCATTGGTGACTCCTACTTGTTTCTTACAAAAAAGCGTGATGAGAGTATCATTTCTAATTCAAGGTCTCCCAAACTGTCAGGAATTCAAATCCTACTACACCCTAACAAGGGTAAAGTCCTAGGCTTCTAAAGGGCCAATGGGCATTTAAGGAGAGGACCCCTTACGATGGGAACCCCTTCCTTACAACCGCCAGGAGTTTATTGATCTCGACCTATATTGTCTCAATTTTCTCTGTTGAGAAGTTCTGCTTTTTTGGCCTCACTAGCTTGAATTTCCTATCAACATTCAGCTTATGCACCATCACGTCGAGGTGAATCCCAGGCATTTCATTTTCGAATCCATGTCGGCTTCTATTTTCACTGTCCGGCTAGGATCACCTGGATGAAGTTTGACTTGCACTATTTCTCGTCTTGGTGTTGGCCTTGGTACTGTTACCGACCTCTGTAGACACCCAAATGTGTCTCCCCAAAACCAAACCCAGTGATGAATACCTTTCACGTCATTTGATTATCGAACGAAGTGAAAGTGTGAAAAGTCTAGTGATGTGGTTGTTGAAAATATTTCTTCTTTCACTCTATTTACGAAAAAAGTCTGCCCAATTTAGTTTGATCCATGATAAGGCTCTAATAATAGTGTAGTTGGATTGGGCTTGAAAAGAGCTTTCCAACGATATATTATAAGCCCAATTCCGATGAATAATGAGGAAGTTATGGATTAAATTAAATTAGGCCCAAAATGAATTTATATGTTGCCCAATGATCTAGAGGAGGGCCTATTAATTATTATTCCTAAAGTTATTAGGATTGATTTTAATCTTCTAGAATATCTAGAAGTTTCTTTTAAATTCTAATGAGATTAGGATTAATAATTATATTTCATCTTGAATAAAATATGTGATTTGTCACAAAAATGATTTTAATCTGATCAACATGGAATTAGCTGCTGAATCGTATTAATAAGAGGATTCCGCGTGAAAAGCGCGTTTTAGTTCTGACTTAGCGCAAGACGACAAGTCTGTTGCCTGGCGCTGAGCCTGTTGTCTAGCGCTAACTCCTGCCGTTGGCAACAAGAGGTATTTCATTCCGAATATGACTTGATTTGTTTTCGGTGTGTTTTTTCTATAAATGGGGGTCGTATCTCCACAGTTTGAAACATTCAAAATCATCATCCCTCTCTAATCTCAAGCTAGAAGCTTTCTTTCTCTCTATTCTTTTTCTAAGCCTTCCCCTTTTACAAAATTCCACATTCATTAGTTCTAGACACACCTAGCCAAGTTCGAAGTTGCCTTCGCCCTAGACGTGAAAGATTGATAATTTCTGAGGATTTGGTTCCAAATCCCTATTTCAATCATTTAATTTTATTGTTTTGATTTATTATTTTCCTTGAAGTTACTAACGCATGTATTTTTTTATTAGAAAGAGATACGAGGCATCCAAGTAAGTAATTTAATTGATTATTCTTTTCATAAGGAAATCATGATTTAATTATGTTAATTCCTAGTATCATGTTTAGGGTAATAACTAAGATTTCTAATATCATGTATGTTTCTATGGGTTGCTTCTTATCTTCTTATATCATGTTAGTATCATCTTAGGGATAAAGCTTTGATTTTTATTGTTTAGTGACATGCTAGGATTTGTATTAATTATGTTAGTATCATGCCTAGGATCTTGCTATGTTATTATGCTTTCATGAGATTAAGATTATTATGATGATGATGATTTATTGTATCAAAATATTTTTTATGTTGCTTGATATTATATTATTATTGTTATTGCTTGATCAAGCCTTTTATGCATGTTTAAAGGGAATTTGTACTTGTAATCACGCTTAGTAAGATAATTAATAATCTTGTTTAAGCTAATATGATTATAATTCAAGTGATCGCCAATAATAGATTTGTTTGTGCATTAATATTCAACCAACATAGATTAAACATGTTTAGGGTTAATCTATTGATTGCATGTTAGTCATAAAGCGCACATGAATGCGAGAAGAATCTAGTAGAGGCCTATTATTAGGGCAGGTTCAATCTCTTTTAGGTTGAATTTGTACCTTCATCCCTGAAAATCCAGTCATGGCTCCAGATCACTATGGAGTTAGAAATCTCATGGATCGTGAAGGGGTGTAACCTTCACCCTGTGAACGGTTTACAAGTTCCTAAAACTTGTTGGCGACTCTTTTACTCTAGCTTCCTTCTCTTTGGACGCCACCATGCTTAAGTGTATGATCACAGTGGGGCTCAAGTTTGGGATGCTTGAAATATTCCCTACAACCGCGTATCGAAGTTTTCCATCGACAAATCTCGAGCCGATGAATCCCTGTCCCTTTACGGGCTATTTGCAATTGGGATTTCTCGCACCGAATTCTTCAAAGCAGCCACATAGCAAGACTTTGCCATTACTTCCCCCCCCCCCCATGTACCTTCTCCACCTTCCCCAAATTTGATACATATGTAATGGTGAGATGATAAGTTGATACCACTTCCTTCACATCGTGTATTACCGATAGTCCAAGGATCGCATTGTATGTCGATAGTACATCTACCACCAGGAATTCTGCCATGACATCCTTGTGGCCACGCCGTCACCAAATCTGACCGGTAAGACTATACTGCCCTCCGGCCTCACTGTTGACCCGTTAAAACCAATCACTGGATAAGACACTTGCGTCAGATCCTGCCTACCTATCATCACACTACAAGAAAAAGGGAAATTAGTAACTGATTTTTGCGACTACCATAATAATCAGTCGCAAAAATTATTTTTGCGACTGAAAAAGACGAGTAGTCGCAAAGTTTGCAACTAATTTTTTAATAGTTGCTACGTAGTCGCTAATTAGCAACTGATTTTTGCGACTACCATAATAATAAGTCGCAAAAAGATGAATAGTCGCAAATTTTGCAGCCGATTTTGCAGTAGTTGTTATGCGGTCGCTAATCTGCGAAACTCTTATAAGTTTTGCGACTAAATTATAGTTGCTGGGTTAACAATTTTAAATTTTTTTTTAAAAAAATTGCGATTGCTATTTGCAACTATTTGATAGTTGCTACCATTGTTGTTAAAATTTATTAAAAGAGAAATAAAAAAAACTATTAAAGGAGAAATTAAAAAGGATTTTTTTGACTTTTACCACAAAAAAAAATCACAAAATTAATTTTTTACTACCAAAACTTTGATTTTATCACCAAAAAAAATTAAAAATTGTTTTTTACCACATGTCGCCAAAAACCTAATCGAAATTTATATATTATTCGATTTTTGTGCCAAATACATGGTCTTTAGGGGTTTTCATACTTTGGATCCAATTTGAGGTCATAATTAACAAAAAATGATCATAATTGTTTCCTTTTGCGAGTCTAAAAATACATCGATTTGCGTGGAATACTCAAAACGACTCATTTTCTATCATTTTTTGTCAATTCTGACCTCAATTTGAATCTACAATGCCAAAATGCTCCCTTAAGCTTATGAAAAACATGTTTTGCGCACGAAAATCGAAGAATTTTTTTTAAACCGTTAGATGTAACGGTTTTCTTTACGGTAGGTTGAAAAAAACAATTTAGTTTTTTTTATGGTAAAATTAAACTTTGGAAAATTTGCAAATTGCAGCCATTTAAAAAAAAATTGCAAATTGCAGCCCAAAAATTCATATAAATTGTAAATTGCAGCCCGATTCAACTTTTTCATCGGTTTACAAGTTGAAAAATCTTCGATTAAGGTTTAGAGGCTATTTTGGCTCTTTGGGATCTGAATTGAGCTCGGAATCAGCAAAAAAAAAAACGCAAGTATCTTGTTTTGCGCAACAAAAATGTATCGATTTGTGGGAAACTGTAAATATGAGACACTTACGTTATTTTTTTGCTAATTCCGAGCTCAATTCGGGTCCCTAAGGGCTAAAATGACCCCTAAAACCTTAACCGAAGATTTTTCAGCATGTAAACCGATGAAAAAATTGAATCGGGCTGCAATTTACAATTTATATGAACTTTTGGGCTGCAACAAAAAAAATGGCTGCAATTTGCAAAATATGAATTTTAAATGACTGCAATTTGCAAATTTTCCTAAAAATTTTAAAATTTTTGGTGGTAATAAATAATTTTGTGTGTTTTTTTGGGTAATAGTGAAAAAAATTCATAAAAAAACCCTTAGTATTACATGTTGTTCCCTCAAACCAAGAACTAAATCGCTCTTTTTTACTTGAGTCATTCATAATACGTAATTACATACTCTTCTTCCTCCAAAAAAAAAAAAAAAAAAAAACAAAACAGAAGGCACTTCAGAGTAATCAATCAACCCGTCGTCGTCGTCTTCATGTGTCGCCGCTGCGCCACCACATCTCCTCCCAGGTTAGTCACGTATTCTTCCCCTTCCTACTGTCCATTCCATCTTTCTCTTACTACAATTGGCCAATTGTGAATTTTAGTTTATCATTGAGTTTTTTTGCCCAATTTTTTAAAATCTAGTTTCCATTGCGATTTGTGAATTGATTTTAATCTAATTAAATTTATTAAATTTCGAGTTGATTTATTTGCGAATTGATTGAATTGATTTTAACTCTGGTTTCCATTGAGAATTGATTTTAATCTGGCTGCCAATTGCAAATTTTAGGATTATCATAGTCAATTAATGAAAAACCTATCAAAATTGATTGATTATGCAAAAAGCCCTAATTATTTTCAATGTAAAGATCCCAAGTTATATTATTCCAACTTTTTTTTCCTCTAAATGTGGTTGATTGGTTAGAGTATGTGAGATATGATCTACAACCACTTATTCAACAATGCTCAATCAAAATCATGAGCTCTTTGAGGTATTCATTTTATGTATCATTCTGCCTCAATATTCTTTAATCTATAAAGTTTTGATTTTTTTTGAGGCTGTTTACATCTATAACTGATCAACCGTTCTTAATAACATTAGTGAATGTTTCTTAGTTAGCCAATACTCAACTTTATTTTGTCTTACTCTCCTTCATAGTTCATACTTCACGCATCACTTGCTAGTGGATTATTTTATTAAATATTCATTGTACTTACAATGGAAACTAAGTCATGTCTACTGTCCTTATCTTTGCCAGCTCTCGTATGGTTGTGCTAGTTCTGTTGCTGCTGAAATCTAATTCTGCAAGCTCCTTGATAGATGATTATGCCCCGAGCCTAGAGACACGTGAACAAGAAGGCCAGATTGCGGATAATAGCAGTGATATCTGGGTTTGCTTATGCTCTAGGTGCTAGAGTATTGTTAGTGAGTTGCTTATACTATTGAATTTGTTATGTCGCTTTCTATTGATATCATCTCTTTTTTTTTACAGCTTCTTATTGACAATATCAGCAGGCCGCACCAAATGTGACTCATTTGCTATTTAAATTTGATCTAGATACCCTGATTGAGCTTACATCCTTACAGCCAAGATTTAATTATAGGTACGGTGACTTTAGGTTTATGTGAATTCTTTGTATTGATTGTTTTGTTCTTATAAGTTTTCTCATCTCTGTACTGATTTGTGATACAGAGTTGCTTAATTATGGTTATTCTTGATATGTTGGATAAACTTTTGAAGCCGGTCATAAATGCATTGCTTCATGAGTGTTTGGGTACTAAAATGGTCATACCCATTTTAGTCTTGGGTAATTCTACCCATTTAAGCTTAAAGGGCATAAAAAGGTCTAAAAGGTCCCAAATAAGTAAAATGCATCAATATAGCCTTCAACGGCCCACATATGTACTTCTAAGGGTTCACTAACACCCACCATGTACTCCTATATATACCCCTCAAGGGGCCAAAGGTAAAGAAGGTCACTCTCATCATCTAAGATGACCATACTCCTTCACTCTCTCCCCTTAACTCCTCTCAATATATTCATTGTTTGGCTACTAACTTTGGCGCCGGAGGCTCCACCCCGGGGCCCACCCCCGGGGCTCGGGGTTCATTTTTCATGTCGATTTAAGGCCCAAATTCGAGGTTCTCAGGCACCCCTTCGAGGCCCAGTTAGCTCATTTTTTGCCGAAACAATGATTATGAATTTCAGGTTAGTCTTTTATTTAGATAGCTACAATGTACCAATACTAGTCTTGAGAGTTTTCAAGTGTTGGTGATTGTTCTTATCTGTAATCTAATTAAGGGTCTTTAATTTTACTTTTTATGCTGGCACATAAGTCCTTTGGTGCATGTTTTATGATTTGAACATTTGAGACCATATTTACTAATACATAGCTTAATGCAGGGAGAATATATGGAAAAACTTGAGGAATATAAGAACAAAGAAATTGAGATAAGCTCCAACAAAGTCTACTTAGAGGTTGTATGTGGGCAAAAGAAAGGAAAAGTTTACGGTTTAGGGAGCGCTTCATAAATGTACTTCAAGAACGATTTGTGGATAACTATTGATCTTTAATATTTGGAGGCATATTTGTATATCGTCATTAGTTCTTATTTGAAGTAGCTTCCTTTATATGGGTGGTAATTTTGAAACAATTAGTCATGTGGTTTAGAATATTATTTTTTATTATATTGATACAAATTGATGATATTTTTGATATTTTAATAAAATTGACATTTTGGTTATTTTAATTTACGCTTGGGAACCCTTTTCTTTTCTTTCGGTGACTGATATTGGTCATCACTAAATTATGGTCTCCAAATATTTATAGTCAATTACAAAAATTTAGTGACTGCAGATTTGTTTTAGAGACTGAATGGTTAGTTGCAAAATAATTGGTCTTAGTAGTCTCTAATCCATCGCAAATTATTAGTCTTGCAGTCGCTAATCCATCACAAAATATTGGTCTCCGTAGTCTTAAATTATTGTCTTCATAGTTGCTTATCCGTCGCAAATATTTTACGACGGACAGTGATTTAGTTGCTAAAATTTTAAAGTTAGTCGCTAAATTGTAGTCACAAAGTCGTTGCAAATCCGTCGCTAAATTTGCGACTATCCAAAAATAAGTCGCAAAAATGAATTTGCGACGAGGTCTTCAGCGACTTGCCAAAGTAGTTGCAAATCCGTCGCAAATTCATTTTTGCGACGGATTTGCGACGAATTTGGCCGTCGCTAATTCGCCTTTTTCTTGTAGTGTCATTTAATTGAATGCCTGCAAAAATAGGACATTAGCTGACCTGCCTCCATCCACCAAGACCCGCTTGATGTCGGCCCCGTTGATCGTCGTTATCAGCATTAGGGGATCATCGTGCAAAAAGACAATTCCCCTTGCATCCTCTTTTGTAAACATCACATCAGGTATTCATGCCGGTCGAGGGTGGCTGTCGGCATCCAATGCATTCACTATGTTGTGGTGCTCCGAAAAATGCTTCTATGCTCCACTTATTGTTCCTTCGTGAATTGGCCCACCAATTATCACTTCAATCTTCTTCCCAATTGACAATGGTGGTTTCACACCATCTCCTTGCCGACTTATTTTCACCTGCTGCCTTTAAGGCCTTGCCTCTATTTGATGACGCTCTGGCTGCCGATATGGTGGTGGTTCCCCCCGCATGTAGCTGGTATTAAGTCAAATGACCCTTTTTATCAGCTATTCAATGTTATCTTTCAATTGCGTGCACTCTTTAGTATAGTGCCCGACATCTCGGTGGAACATGCAATACTTCGTAGCATCTCTTCCCTTGGCTTTCATGGGCATAGGTTTCACCCATCCCTCCCTGTTCTAGTTGACTGAGTATATGGCAGCCTTGGGCGTATTCAGCAGAGTGTATGCACTGTATTGCATCGGTGCTTTTGCACCTCTAACCTTCTACCGATTTCCTCCTCCCCTCATTGGGGCCGGATTTTTCGGCCTTCCACTTCTTGAGGCTGCCCCCTCAGATGAATGCGGTACTTTATTGGCCAGGACAACTCGGCTACTTGTTTTCATCAACTCTTCGCTCTTTATATAATCATGAGCTATGTTAAAAGCTGCTTCCACTGTCGGAATTTTTTTTTTTCTTGTTAGGTACCGCTTGAACTCAGAGTCATTCAAGCCATTCATTAGTGCCATAACGGCTATCTCCTGCTGCAACTTTGGAATTGTGTTTGCCTCATTATAGAACCTCCTGATGTAGTCCTTTAGAGACTCTTCCGCTTTCTGCCCTATAGCCATTAACTCCCATGAGGTTCTCTGCCAAACACTGTTGCTGATATATTGCCCCACGAACATTTTTGTTAGCCTTTCAAAGCTATCCACCGTACCACTTTCCAGGTTATTGAACCAATCGTCTACTGCCCCGGTTAAGGTGGTCGAAAAGACCTTGCACCAAACCGCGTCTGAGTTGGTGTACAAAATTATACGTCCCTCAAAGGACATTATGAAGCTGCTTGGATCACCTCTTCCATCATATTTGCATGTTGACATTTTAATCTTTTCCATCGACTGATCCAAAATTTCCTGTGTAAACGGCAATGCCCTCAGCTGAACAATGTTCGAATCACCCCTGCCTTTCATTCGGCGACCTTCTCTGCCGCTGATTTCTGGTGTTAACGGCACAACTAGAGGATTGTGCCTCTGTCTCTTGAGAGATTGCATGTGTCCCTTGAGGCGACATTTCTCTACGGGGTTGCCTCGATGAGTTTACTGCTTGATTGATTTGACTATTTAGATTTACAATGGGCACCCCTCCTGCAGCCCTGGTGGTTCCTGCCTCGGCTTCCTTTCTTTTCTTGCTCAGGGCTGACATTACCTTGGCCACTATCTCCAAATCCTCCGGGGTAAACTCGGACATGAGATCTGCCACTACAACAATATGCCGCTCTGGAGTTATAGGCATATTAAATTGATTTTCCTCCAAAGTGTGGGTTTCATCTTCTATTTCCACCTCCGGCAGTGCTCCAGCTCTAGGGTTGATTATCCTACTTGCTCCATTGTTACTTCCAAGTGTTTCTTTGACCAACCATAACTTCTCTGCGTGAGGTCCTTAGGCGATAGAAGTAATCACTATCCCCTCCTTCTAGCGCCAAATTGTTCCAATTCAGATCCGATTGTCCGTATCTGAGATCCGTGAACACCCTATCGTCTGGCTACACACCTACACATGAAGAGAAGATTAGCTAACCCCATGGTGAATCCGGGGATAACCACTCCGATGATAAACTTAGAATGTGTTTAAGAGAAAAGAGAGGACGATATGAAAAGAGAGAAATACAGAAAGAGAAAGAGAGAGAGAGTGTGTGTAATAAATGCTACCTTTTTATGGATAATCTTATCTATTTATAATAACTTCAAATGGCAAATGGTTGCATGCCATGCAAACCACTTTTACGCCAAGTGTCGATTAATCAACACCACGTGCTCAGTTTTAAGAGGCGCCGATATGTATAGTATGTCGTTATATGTCAGTGCCGATATTGGTATTATCACTAAAAACCCAAGCCTGTTTAGTCTCTCAAAGTTTGGTTATCGGCACTGTAGCAGTTATCGGTATCCTCCCATACAGATATCGACGAAGCTTGCAACGAACGCATTTATGAGAACGATCAGTTAGCAATGGCGAACAAAAAGAAGAGAGGAGAAAAAGAAGGATGAATATAAGGAAGGGAGATAATCTGGAAAGGTTAGACTATTTAAAATACGACGACGTGTAAAGGGGTGTAGGGTCGTAGGGAGCAGTATCTAAGCTAGGGTGTAGTGTAAAATTTATATGACATTTGGAGGGTTGAACCCTTGGGCTTTGGGTAATTTAATGACCGACCCAAATAGGCTTATTTGAACTCAAATAATGATTACATTTTTTTTTTTTTAACAAATACATACAAACTAAAAGTCATAATTTAATTAAAATAAGTTTTTTTTTAGTAAGTGGTTTGGGAGGAAAAACTTTTTATAATATTTTGCCAAGTGTTCTCTAAGTATCGCCTTTAGTATAATGTAATTGATTACACTAAAAAAGCACAACATTGCTATTCCATACTACAATCATAAATACTTCCAAAAATACATTACATAAGAACATAGCTAGAAATTCAGTAAGTTTTGTACAGGATACGGTACTTCTACAACAAAGCTCTTAAAAGAATTTGTATTGCAATGCATCGGTCCAACTTTGTACACCCTCATACTTCCTCCGCAAATCTTAATTATAGCCAAAAATGAAAGTTAACACCAAAAAAAGTTTTGTTAAATGAGAATAGTAAAACTCACCCAAGCTCGGAAAGCTTCAAATGAGCTTCTTCAGCATAATCAGTAAAGAAGGCATCCTCATCCTACAATAATAATATCAGGACATCACAAGAAATTCATCAACACCTTGAGACTACAATGGCAGTTGGATAAGACCTTCCTTTTCTCCACTAAGAAGCTCCCTGTTATGAAATTTGAGTTAACATGTGTAAACAAGAACATTTGAGTTAACATGTGTAAACAAGAACCAACACCTCTCACAAGTTTAGGTAGTCAGCTCCACTGGTCATCTTTTGAGAGCAGAGGAGAGGACTAGAGGAGGTAAGGAAATCCCCCTAATTCCAAGCATTTTGAAGTTGATGGGGCTTGAACTCATGACCTCAAAGTTACAAGGTGAGTTCCCCACCAACTTCAACAAGCTTTGCTTGGTATTTTTTTAATTAAATTGAGGTAATATTGCATCTCTATTTTGAATTTGTCCAATAAAATACTCTTTTATCTTGCTCCTACATTGAGCCTGTCACATGTAAAACCCTTTTATAATCTTAACCCAAAATCAAAACTCAATGGGCTAAGCCTATTCAATAACAACATGTCTATTTACGGTTATAACGAAGTATACTTGAAATAGGAGTTGTCAAACACCAAAGGATTATTGGTCCAAGATCCTTCATGGCCAGACCTCTCCTTATGACACCTTCCCTACACAATTGACAATTAGTAATTAAGTTGTTATTTGCATATTTGTAATTGCTGTAAACAGGAAAATACCAAATTAAATAGATGAACATAATGACTAACCAAGGTGTGACCACCAGATAGTGCTACAATATCCTTATCAGATAAACCCATTCGGTAAAATACTTCTCGCAAATGGTCAGATCCTACATTCATAAGGTCCAGAGTTTATACAACAAATATTATACAAATGACAAAGAGGAAATAAAAGAACTAAGAGTACTTGTATGTCTAATAATGTAGGCTTAAAACACAAAAACTAACCTTTCTCGGCATCAGGCAAGCGTGTTGAAACTAAAGAGAGAGATGAGAGATAGGAAAGAATTACGAAACTGATATTATGCATTTTAATAACAAAGTACAAGAGCAAATATATAAGAAAACTAATGACAACTACTTCCCTAAAACTAAGGGAGTAAACCCACGTCCAATGAATACAACCTAGTCCCACTAACAATGACTCCTAATAATATGCTAAATTAAACCCCCCACATCCACTACTTTGAAGCACACAACCAACAAAGCGGCCTTCCGGTGGTGATTCAGTTTTGTCCTAAAAATCATGTTACAAAACACAATGAAATTTGAGATAAATTTGGAACTTTCAATTGACACCAGATACATGAGAAAAATACTTAATGTTCATTTCCGGCATAGACATACAATGACGTCAAAATTAATTTAAATACCTTTCTTTGTTTTTATTAATAATTATAGATCCTTCAAATAAAAAACCACACAAATTTATATATGAAATTATGTGAGATAAATTTGGAACTTTCAATTGACACCGGATACATGAGAAAAATACTTAATGTTCATTTCCGGCATAGACATACAATGACTTCAAAATTAATTTAAATACCTTTCTTTGTTTTTATTAATAATTATAGATCCTTCAAATAAAAAACCACACAAATTTATATATGAAATTATGTAACCTGGTTTATGAATATATTTATTGTTATTTTTTGTCATTTATATGCGAAAATATAAAATTATACTCGTATTAATAATTAAGTTTACAATGTTGATAGCATATCATTTTTTCAAGGTTAACAAAATTATGAACATTTGGTTCGTAAAAGTTATACTCGAATTACTCCGTATTAAGTTTATGAATTGATTTTTTTTTCAAAAAAAAAAAAAAAAGTTTATGAATTGATAGTTTTTATACTCATGTTACCACGTATTAAGGTTATGAATTGATTAAAAAAATTAAACCAAAAAAAAAAAATATACAAAACTACATTTATAAAGGCTTGTTCCGCTAACCTTAGTTATCATGAGATAGTTGATCTAATCTTGCCTCTTAAACCAATTTGAGATTTAAGAGTTTATATACTTGCTCTATTAAAAACTATTTGCTCTATTAACTTCTAAGCTATTAGCCACTAAACTATTGCTATATTATTTCCCTTTCTATTAAAATAGAATATTAGTAAATATTTCTACCAGGAAAATGACGCAATAATTTAGGGCTTATTCTGATTTAATGAACCAAGTTGAATTGAATTGAACTGATAGGATGTTGTTGAACTAAACTGAATTGAATTGTTTATGAGAGAATGAAATTAGGAACTGAACTAATTGGAGCAAAACTGAAATAAAATTAAGCTGAAGAGAACAGACCCTTAGAATCGCCCAAGCTCAAAACTAGTTACCTTTAAAAATGTGTGCCTAAAACCTATATTGCAAGTAAAAGAAAACGAAGGAAACACTTAGTAACATGTAAGATGAGGTAAAATCATAATGCATCCATAGCAAATCACAATGTGAACAAAATCATGCATTACTATCACATATTTCTCAAACAATATAATTTAGAGTCCACTTACATGTCTCCCAGGGTGAAATGGTATCTCAGGCCCTCCTGTAACCTCAACTGCAACTACTCCAGCCAACTTTAAAATATATAGAGAAAAATATAAAACATAAACTTATGAATGATCAATACATACAATATGTCAATTTACAATAAGCATGTACTTCATATGCAACAGAAAAAAATGTAGCTTATGAACCAAATTACAAAATGAAAATGTAGCTGAATATAGGTTTACCTGGTAGAAGTCAGCATAGCTTAGTAGTGGAAACTGGTCTTTGATTGGCTGCAGCAGTCTAACAGCGATATCCAGACCATTATTTGCAGAATGAGCCAGCTCCTGTGGGTTCTTTATCGTCCCAAACGGGCCGCCGGTTTTCGAGTTTACGTCAAATGTCCCAGCTGAGTGCCATCTACAATTTTCCCGGCCATTCAGATATTTAGTATTTCAGTTTATGATGTAATCAATACAAACCATTGTTTCATGTAAAAAATGAAGTAATTAAACTTACATAGGTTATAGTAAAAGCTGAAGTTCTTGAACTTACCAATAATTTGTAGTCATCTAATTAAGAAATGTATCTTTTATTTTTTTTTTATATATTTTTTTTTATTTTTTTTTGGCTTTCATATCATATTATCTTTTTTTGGCCGTCCCAACATTAATTTATGTTAGAAATGGTAATGCAAATGGATTCTCGCGCCCGATCAGGCGGAGTTGGCTAAGGAAAAAGAAGGGCTCTCTCGCCCGATCGGGCGGGTCGGGCGACAGAGTCGAGCTTTGACGAGCCCGATCGGGCGGCTCTCGCCCGATTTCTCGCCCGAGGTGGGTTTTCAAGATCATCCGACCGGGAGAGACACCAGGTTTGGAAAACTTCATCTCGCGCCCGATCGGACGGCTGCTTGCCCGATCGGCCCCGCCTTTTTTCCTAGGTCGGTTTATTTTATTTGTCTCCGATTTTCGGGACTCATATAAATATGAGCATTGCCTCTCTATCTTCATTCATTCACTTTCAAAACCAAAAACACAAACCTACCCTTAGAGATCTGAACAGTTCTTGAGCAATTCCACTCTTCGGGTTCGGGTGCACGGATTACGAGAGAGTTGTGTTAAACTTGGGGGGCGTGCGTCACTAGGAAACTTGTATTGGTGGTGGCGTATTTCGCTTCTAAGGTAGTGGATTATTGTTCCACGACGCGACTGTGAGTTTAGGATCTTCAATTCAGGAAAGTTCTAATCTTTTTGTTTGTTATTGATTTCAACAATTATTTTACCAACAATTTATTAATATAGGAGTACTTCATCTGTCCCAAAAATGTATGATACAGTGAGCATTACACACATACATGCATGTCAATGAACTGATTTGACTTTAATTTTATATGATTAAAAATTAATGAAAATTATTTTATAAATTATATAAAACTTTACATTAATACCTATTTAACAACATTATTTTTATTAATACGTATTATGTTAATAAAAAAATTATGACTAGACCTAATGCATGAATAGTGGAAATTAAAAAAGTCAAAATTTTCATGTTTTTAGTGATGGAGGGAGTATAAAACTTCATATAGTTCAAATTGAAAAGGAGAACAACTATATGGTGTTTTAACTTTTTAGACTTGTAAATTTAAAACACAATGCTTTTCCAAAATCAAAGTCGCTTAATATAATGCTTAATTTTGATACAGTATTGTTTTTATTTAAAAAAAAAATTGATACTGTATTAGCTTATTTAAGTAAAACGCAGATTAGATTGATACAATCTAATCTTTTTATTTGCATTTATTCTTAGCTAAATATAATCATACTCCCTTTGTATCCTTTAAGTGTTAGGCCGTGTTTCATTTACTTCATTTTTGCTCAACTGAAATTATTTTTACTATACAGAAATTTTTTTTGCTGAGTTGAAATTATTTATATTAATTTTCCATTAAATTTTTTTTCTTAAAATTACTGAATTTTACTAAATTGTTATTTTTTTTTACTGAACTAAAATTAATTTTTTCTTATATTTTTGTTTAATATATCCCAACAACCGTACCCCACTAGCTTTTTATACTTCCTCCGTTAACCATTATCTGCAACTTTTACTAATTTTGGACCCTAAACATTATGTGTAACAATTTTTTTTCCATTTTTAGTAAAAAAAACATAGCAAAATGACTAAAATGCTCTTATATAAAAATCTAAATATGCCTATTATCTTCACTAATCATATTTGATCAATTAATCAGATTTTAGGATTACCCTAACCATTCCCACCAATTTCCCATACAATCACCCCACTTCAATTGCCCACATTAAATCATTTCCCCAACTGCCTGCATTAATTGGAAGAACAATCTATGGTTCTTCATCTCCCTTTAAACATGTTCATCTTCTTCCTCATTCTCTCTCCTCTTGTCGTTTCTGGGTTCATCTCTATGTCTTCTTTTCTAGGTTTTGACACTCTATCTCTTCTTTTCTGGGTTAATCTCCCAGATCTGTTACTTGTGCTCTCTCTCTTTGGTTCTGTCAAATTGAGGGTTGATTCCTCTTTACAATTGAGTCCCTTTAAAAATGATTAACCTAGATCAACTTCACGATGCCTTCTTTGCGACTGATGTTGAAGAGGAAGGAAATATCATTCAAATGCTGATTCACTCCTTCAACACTGACGCCCCTTGGCTTCGTAGGATGTACGATGCTGGGGATAGGGGTCCATACATAAGCGATTACACCTGGAAAGCCCTTCGGGAAGTTCTGCAATCCATTGATGACGTTGAGGAAGCTAGGAGACAGGAAATCAGGCGTCGAAGCAAAAGGGCGCTTGATTTTACCAAGGAGAGAGCGTCTGGTGAGGGTGAGGGTTCTTCTGCTGCGAAGAATCCCAGATCTGAGGTTTCTAAGGCACCTCCTACCACTATCAGATCTAGGCACCGTGCTAGTTTGGTTGCTAGAAGCAGAATTCGTGGGGCTAAGCTGACTGGGGTGATTGACATTTCTAATGATGAAGACCCTAATCAAGGTGGTGTTGGGGATGGTGCTCCTCCTGCTGTGGTGGCCCATGAAGTCGGTGGTTCTGGTGCTCCTCCTCCTGAAGATCCAAATGATGGAGTCCCTGAAGGGCATGATACCGAGGATGAGCTGGGAGTTGTGCTTTCCCCAACTGAATGAAGCATTCAGTAACGATGTCTAAACCTAACTTTCTTATTCTTTCATTTTGTTTATGAGTCCCAAATCATTTATTCATTCTTGTTGGCTGATACTGGTGTTGATGTGTATTTGTGTTGTGGATTGATTTGTTTATGAGTCCCTGAGAATTGGTTATGTTGGTTTGCTGTTTTGCTATGTTGATGTTGTTGTGCTAGAGTAAGAGGAAATGTGATTGATGAATGATGATACATGTATGATGTGCATTGATGTATGATCTATGGTTGTCCCACATTTGATGTTGTTCTCAATGACCATTATATGAGAGAACATATGAGTCCCAAATTTGTAGGTTAAGCATGTTGGTTGCCTCTCTTTTCTGTTACTTTAAGGTTGATAATGGATGCCACACAATTTTATTGTTGTGTGTATGTCATTTCCAAGTGATGAAGGGACTCATTTGATGTACCTTTGGTAAGTGTCATTAGCTCCAACTTCTGTGATGAAAGTTGTTGAGGAAATCACTTGCACATAAGGTGTTGAGAAAATAAAAGAATAATCCTTTTGAGGGAAAAAGTTCTGCCTTTCTTGAACATTGAGTAGTGGAATAATTGAATGAAAGTAAAAAAAATGAGTCCCAAATTTATAGCCAAAAGTTTGATTTTCATTCATGTTGTTCCATTACAAAAGCTGAGTCCTAAATACAACCACTGCTCTTACATGACTGCCTTGGACATTCCTCTGTTCCTAATAACCAAAATACACCTAACCACCCAAAAGATAAGCTAAAAGTTACAAGTACCCTACTACAACTTGTTTTTTCTTACACAAAATAATGTGGTTATGTGTGGCAGTCTATGTCCCAAAAGGTTGCTGATCATTGCTTTTTTTTCTAATCTGCATCTACCTGCATTTGTGTGTCTTCATCTTCTGCTTGGTTTACTTGCCTGAACAAAGTGTTGAGATGTTCCACTGCTTGTTGAATGATGTCCCTACTGACCTCTAACTGTTCTGGCAGAATCCCTTGGTTTTCTAACCTATTTTTGCCCATATGTGGTAGTGGGTAGTTATTGCCTCCATTCTTAATCATTATCTCAGACATACATTTTTGCAATGTGATCCATGTATTCCTATTGACTTTAGGATCAAAAACAGCATAAGCCTCATTTACCTTCTTAACCAAATCATCCAAATTTTCTGGAAAAGATTGATATTGGATGGATTGGATTGAGGTAAACAGTCCTAGATCAAGCACATTCAGATCAGGGGACTAGGGTGGCTGGAAAACCATCTGTATGTTGAAACCATCTGATGTGCATGCTTCTTGAAACTCTGCATATGTTGGGATTTGGTGTGGTCTTGCATTATCCCATTGTATGAATACATTTTTAGGTAGGCTTGGATGCCACTTGCTCTTGGTTGCTGGTATAACTTTCTCAATCAACATTTTCCTTGTCACTTCCTTGGTGACACTCTCTATTGCCTTTGTTTCCATTGTTCCTGCAACTCTGTTTTTACTTGACTTTAATGCTCTTTTTTTTTTAACACAAAAGGGAAAATTCCATATTTTCCATCATGTAACAAGTTTTTGTTAGCATCATATAGAGGTTTACCAACCACTGCCATAAACATGGCTTTGATTTTGAACCTTCTGGACTGTTGGCACCTATATGGATTTTCTTCTATTGGCAGCAAGTAAAACCTCCTTGTTTCTGGGTTCAGCCAGAACCACTTTTCATCAATGTGAATTGTCTCTTGCATGTTCACAAATGTTGGGTCCCTAACTGCAGGAATTGGATTAACATGAGCTAAAGCCCACTTTAACCTTGCAACTTTATGATTAGAAGTAAGTGTTGGTCTGTTGGTGCTTGTGTGAGTTCTGAGTCTGCCTCTTTTCTTCAGATTGTGTATGGTGACATGTAATATCTTCAAAGATGCTGCATAGCTTCTCTCAGTAGTTCTCTTGTACAGAGGCACTGATTGGAGAAATTCATTTGAATATTCCACTGGTTTTCTCCCACATGTCCCCAACTTCTTGTTTCTGACATCAATGACATTTCCCTCTGACATCTGCTTCTTTAGATCGTCAAATACTCTTGTGATTGTTGACTTATGGACTTCAAATCTCAATGCAAATTGAGCCTTGAGTCCCCTTCTTAGCTGACCATCTTGCATTTTAAGTAACATTGCATCAATGATTTCTCTTTTTTTTTTATCCAAATTCAGTTGTTTTCTTGATGTTGGTTGTGGTTGTTGAAATGCATCTGCTTCTTGAAATGCATCAGCTTCTTGATTGTTCTGTGACTGCTGTTGCTGGTTGTTATCTTCATCATTTTCAGATTCAAGGTCTGAAAACTCATAAGCATCTTCTGCATCTTCTTCATCCATCAACATTTGATCAACTCCATAGAAATAATCATCATATCCATAATGATCATCCATTGTTCTGTAATTGGTATTTTTTTTTTTTTGAACACTGACTGTTTTTTTTTTTAATTTTCAGAGTGGAAGGAAGAAGAAAAGGTGGTGGCTGAAGTCGTTTTTTGGTGCTGGTGAAGTTGCCACGATTTTGAGAGCACAATGAAGATGGTGCTGATTATATTAGAGCACTAATTTAGATCAGGGGTATGTAGTCTTTTGGGTAAATATGGGATTATGAAGTGTAATTAATGCTAACTTATTTTTTTGGGAAACATGTCTGTATTTTGGACTGTATTATTGGTGAAACAAGAATATGGTGATGAACATTAAATGTGGTGGCTGGTATTTATAAGCCACTATAATGATGTTGGAAAAGTTAAAGTTTATGTTGGTGGGGAAAAATTTGGGTAAAATTTTAAATTTTGGCTAAAAAGTGAGGGAAAAAAGTTTCCCCTCCAAAATCAGATTTCATGCAAAAGAAACACGTGGGCAGTCCCACTTTCTCTCTCTTCTTTGTTTTAATTACTTTCCCTAACATTTCCTAAACAACATTAGCAAATTTTGCCTAGGAGTCCGTGATTATGTCCAAAGTTGCATATAATGGTTAACGGAGGAAGTATTAAAATTAATTAATTTACCTAAAGCTATGCGTAGAACAAAGTGTAACATTTAATTATAAAATAAAGGAGTAACCATTACTCTATTAGATTCGTAATAATCGCAACAATAGGGAGGACACGAGGACCAAAGGGATTATTTGATAATATAAAATTTAGTTAGTTATTTAATTTTTAATATGAGAGAGAAATAATACCAAAAGATAATAGAGAAATACTGTAATAAAATAGTAATGGATTCTTTTCAAATAAGGAAATATTGCAATTATTATGAAAGAGATAAAAATAAATAAATAAGTGTTGCGATTATAACGAAATAAAAAAAGTTACAGTTTGGTAGCCTACGGTAAACTCAAGTATCACCAAGTAGTTAAAATTAAAACTTGGACATGCGTTAAAAATTCCAAGAACTAAGACTAAGACCCTGTTTGATTCACCTTAATTTTGCTGAACTGAAATTATTTTTAGTGAATTGAACTTATTTTTACTGAACTGAACTTAATTTTACTGAACTGAAATTATTTTTACCGAACTTAAATTATTTTTACTGATCTAAAATAATTTTTACTGATTTTCTATTATAATTCTTCTTTAATAAAACTGAATTTTACTGAATTGAACTTATTTTTACTGAACTGAAATTATTTTTACTGAACTGAAATTAATTTTACTGAACTGAACATATTTTTACTGAACTGAAATTATTTTTACTTAATATTATTTTTTTAAGGTGAATCAAACAGGGTCTAACAAGAAATTATCATTTGTGCTTCATATATACTCCGTATAACAAGAGGACATATTTATCAAAGTCTAGATAATTCTCTAGCCATGTAGCTTAGGTTTTTAAAACATGGTAATTGAAATTCAAATACAGAAATTTCTAGCTCAAAAGTTTATCATAGCAATGATGAATAAGTAAATAAAGTTCTTAGGCAAATTAATAATTTTATAAATGAATAAGTATAATAAAGAACTCCCTCCGTCCCTTAATACAAAGCTTCTTTCTCTTTATTATGTGAGTTAAAAATCCGCATATCAGATGCCTCCTAGGCTTTCTCCAAACCAGATGAGTATACTGTTAAATCCGCATATCTACTAGGGAAAGGGTGTGACTTAGACCTTTTCCACCAGGCATGGGTCGAAATCTGGAAAGCAAATGTTACCCCGAAGGTGCGTCTCTTCTTCTGGAAACTCTGCTCCAATACTCTACCTGTGAAGAGTCTTCTGCACTATAGACACCTTACAACTGATGCCTCCTGTCCCTGGTGCAACCATGAATCCGAAACCATTAGCCATGCCTTTGTGGATTGCTGTCGTGTTCAAGGCCTTTGGGAGGACTGCTACTGTCCTCAGATGGCGAACTGGGGTGAATTCGACTCCATATGTGATCTCGTGATAAGTTGGAAACATCTCGACCCAAAGGTTGTTCAACGTGGTATGTTTCTAGCTTGGTGTATTTGGGGGGATAGGAATCTTAAAGTGTTTCAAGATAAAGAAACTCCGAATGCTGTAACTTGTGGGCGTGTTGCTAGATACGTGGAGGAGCAAGGGAGCTATGCAACTCGAATTTATGGAGCAGTTGGCCTCCTTCCTGTTCCCAGCCCAAACAAATGGAATGCGCCACCTGAGAACATCATCAAGATAAATGCTGATGCCTGCTTATCTGTTGAGGGGTGGATTGGCCTTGGAGTTGTTGCTAGGAACCACGAGGGACAAGTTTTAGTGGCTGCAACAAGAAGATGTCGTGCTTTCTGGTCCCCTGAAATTGCCGAAGCAAAGGCCTTGCTGTTTGCTCTTAAAATTGGAAAAAGGTATGGTTTTTTGGATGTTTTGCTTGAGTCGGATTGCAAATTTGTTATTGCAAAGCTTTCAAAGAATGCACTGTCCTTGGAGGTGGATGGGGTCCTTGGTGATATTCTCGCCCTTTGCTCTGATTTCTCGTCTGTTGGTTGGTCTCATGTGAGACGTGATGGTAATACCGTTGCTCATAATTTAGCTAAACTAGTTCCTTTTGGTTTTGAACAAACTTGGGAAAACCATTGTCCTCAAGATGTTTCTCCATATGTACTTATGGACGTTTTGTCCCTTAATTAATCCATGTTTCTAGTTTGCTTCAAAAAAAAAAAATGTGAGTTAAAAATGCTACAAAGAGGCTTTGTATTAAGGAATGGAGTGAGTAGAGTTTTGGGTAGAAAATTCTCTCCAATAAAGACACTACTTTAATATATGTATATAGTTGTCAACAGTAACTTACGCTAAGCGAAGAATAATTGGAGCACACTGCTTCTCTTGGATGAGAGCTCTAAGTTTCCTCTTACATTTCTCTACTGCTTCCTGATATTCCTTGCTAACACTTGGGTATGTCATCCTCATTGTATCCCTCTCTACAAGTTAGCATTTGAATTATTATTAGTGATACATTATACATTTATACTCCAATATCATTTATACATATATATATAAGAATGGGAAATGAGAATATGAGACAGTTAGTTTAAAACTACAATTTGACTAATTAAAAGAAGGCGACGATATAAAATAATATGGCAATTAGTTCTTTCGGCAATAAAGTATTAGATCATGAAAATGGGAGTTGCATATTATATACATACCTTGCAAAAAACTTTAGAGTACGTTGAAGATAAAGAGAAATTTAGGCTTTTCTTATTAGTTGATTGCGATGATCACTGAAATTGGCGTGGGATATATGTTAATATAAAGCTCAAGTAGTGAATCAATAAAGAGGGATGCTTTGAACGTACTTACAAGAGGGATCAAGAAGTTTCTAGCTTTTGGTTTTTATTACTAGTAATTTGATACGTTAATTAGATCATCTCCAACCGTCTATTACTACATTAGTGGCTCCACAAGTTAATTTTTTGCCCGGCGAACAATTTCACGCCACGACGATATCTAGTAGCTTGGCAATAATATTCCCTCTCCATGCTTTTTAAAGTTTTTTTTTTTTTTTTTTTCACAACGGATACAAACAAATTCCATACTAATACTAAAGCAAATAAAATTCACCGCCGCTTCCCCGGTAATTTGATGAGCTCGATGAACGCGCGGACGATCCGCCTTATGTATGCTACAATACTGAAAGGTTGAGCCAAGCAGTTGAATCTTGCGGATAATCCAGAGGTTATCCACATCACCATGGCCATCCTCCCGAAGAAGGGTTTCAAGATTATAAGAGTCAGTAAAAACCGTGATAGAATGAAACCGACGATCAGAAGTCCATTGTAGCCCATACAAGCATGCCAAAGCTTCCACATGTAAAGTTGATGTACACACCCCGAAGTTACTTCCTCGAATGATTCGGGCATCCAACGGGTCATTATTATCCAAGCACCAACCTATCCCAGCATGACGAGAGTCTTGGAACCAAGCACCATCAACTTGTAGTGACAATAAAGAACCCCCATGGTTACTCTGACCTAGCTAACACTACTATAAAATGAGTCTTTTCTCAACGCTTTAGCCTCGACGCTTAGGCATAAGCGTCAGGTGGTAAATACAATATGCGTGTTTTCTCGACGCCTAGATTGATTTTCGACATAAATAAGCGTCGAGAACAACACGTGCAGGGATCGTGAGTTTAATTGGCTCTACCCACGTACGGTTTTAAAATTTCGGAAATAATAAAACTGCCCACAGTACTAAACTTGAAAACCCTTACTATTCATCTCTCCTATATCTTACGAAATTCTGCAAAGTGATTCAGAAAATCATGGATTTCAATGTCAGATCATCAATTCGTTCCCTTTGCACTGCTCAACAATAATTTTGCTTGCCTAATTTTCTCTTCCCGCTGGCCTTCAATGGTGTTTAATTTCGTCCTCTCTTTGCCGATAAAATCGAGGTACATCCTTTCCTTTGGGGCTTCAGTTTTTCTTCGATTCGAGTCCTATAGCTTGTTTATAGAGTTTATTTTGCAATAATTTCACGAAAATTTGGTCTGAAATGGGTTTGATTCATGAGCAATTGATATTTTAGGGTTTGTTTATACATATTATTGAGTTCAATTTTCTGCTACTGTTCAGATAAAATTCTGGAAAAATTAGCCTTTTGAGTTCAATTTTGTGCTACTGTTCTTTTATTCTATGTTTGAGCGAAGCACCATTTTGAGTTGGCTACTCACCTGCTATTACTTAAGAACAATCTGTTTTTTTTTTCTGTTCAGATAAAATTCTGGAAAAATTAGCCTTCATTTACCTTAGGTGTCGTTACAGATTTGAAGGTATATAGCTCTGCATTACTCTTTATTTTCCTTGAAATTTGAGTTTTCTTTTTTTGTGAAAATTTTGAGTAACAATATTGATAAAGGATAGATGGAAGATATTGTTTATACATTTTTTCCCCTAAAAGTTACATTGTATAGCCTCTGTATCTTAGCTTAGCTTGCATTATTAAACTTTCGTTTATTGGACTTTTGTTTTAGCTAGTTAATATTTTAATAATGTAGCAACTCTATGTCACATTTTATGTAGAATACTATGAGAGGTGATTACTAGTCGGACACAGTAATTTTCTTCTTAATGCACTTGTTGGACAGTTTTATGATATTGTAGGTGCAGTTCGTCAAGGGAATAGATCTCCAATTCTTCTAAAGAAAACACCTGAATTCTTAGAAATGGCAAACCACCAGGTAACAAGGTTGCATTTCTCTTTGTGCTTAGATGCTAGAGTCCCTATTTATATTTGATGAAGTATATCTTTGCATGGTAAGTATTGAATTGTGTAATTTCTTTATTAGTCTGATGAAAAATAGATTGACCTAGAACTAGATTGACTTGGTTTTCTGAAATCTTTGTGGCTTTGCTAAAGTCATAATGAGACATGATATCTTTATGAACCATGAGCAATCTCAAACTTGCTTAAGAGACATGATATCTTTGTTCATTGGTATTTTTTTTTTCCGCATTATAATTTCCTCCACATTCATTAGAAGGTGGTTTGAGCTGTGTCCTTTTATATATAGACATTTGCTTGTTTTTCTCTTTGGTTGTAAATGTTATTGTAGACCAAAACTCTTATAATTGCATGGCTCATATTGATGGTTCTACTCATTCATTAGCAGCTGGTTTAAGCTGTTTAATTTTATAAACATTTGCTTGCTTTGCTTTATGATTGAAAACATTATTGTGGACCAAAAGTCTTATAATTGCATGGCTCATATTGATGGTTGTATTAACTTGGACCAAAAGGCTTATTGCTTATGAATTATTTAGGGGGTTTATAATTAATTAATATTGGCTCCATCTTGTTTCCATAGCTTAAGCCGAGTGCAGTGCCTTTAATTTCTGAGCTTTGGACTGAGGTAAGCAGAGGAACCCGTGCTTGCCTCGGCTCATTATCTACGTTACCCTTAAACTGAATACTAAGATGAAATCTAGAACTGAATCCAGCTCTGAATTTCAGAACTGAATTAGAGCTGAATTTAAGAACTGAATTCAGATCTGAATTTCAGAACTGAATTCAGCGCTGAATTTCAGTTCTGAATTCAGCGCTGAATTTCATAACTGAATTATGAGCTGAATTTTAGAACTGAATTCAGAGTTGAATTTCAGAACTGAATTCAGAGCTGAATTTCAGATCTGAAGTTCAAAACTAAATTTCAGATCTGAAAATCAGATTTGATACATTTATACTTAACTATTAAGTTGTTGCTTAGTAGACTAATCTGATTTCAATATGTGTTTGGTCTTTCATGCAATCAAGTTCACTCTTGAGTTCTTGTATGCTTAAAGCTTATTTACAATTGGTGAATGAAATGGGTATTTTAAGTTGTTAATAATCTTATAGGATTATTGTGCTTCAAATGCATCTGAATGCAAAAAAATTATATCTGATGTGTTAGTATCAGTCATTCTGGTATTAATTCAATTCATGTTGTTAATCAAATTGGTAGAATTTTGGTTCTATCTGATAGGTTTTTGTATCTAGTTGATCTGCAATTGTTATAACCTGTGAAAAAGTTAGGGATTCTGAAGGGTGTTAATGTTGTTGCTAGAAGGGTTTGTAGTACTGAATCTGGAAATTCTAATTGGATTAATGAACAGGGAGTTAGTAGTAGTGGTAGTAGTGTAGGTGGGAGGCTTATGAAAAAGTTAGGTGGCGGGGTTAGATCGAATGGGGCGAGGGTTAAGGAATTCAGTTCTAGGGGAGTGGATAATAATGGTGCCTACCTTTTTGTGGTGGCAATGGGGAAGAAAGTGGTGTTCATTGAGCTGAATTCAGGCAGTAGTAAGCATGATCAAGAGGTCGATGGGAAACGTGGTTTGTTCGTGGTTTTGAAGGAAATGTCGTGTATTGATGGTGTGAAGAGTATGGCGTGGCTTGATGATTCATTGATTTTAGGGATTGATAATGCTTATAGTTTGATGTCCTGTATTACAGGGCATGTTGATTTGATATTTTCACAGGCTGTAACAATTGCAGATCCATGCAGATCAGTTGCTGAGTTGGTGGTACACTGGTATTTGGCAATTCTGGTATTTGATTGCAGATCAACTAGATACAAAAACCAATCTGGTAATTTTGGTATTTACAATTCATGTTGTTCTGCCTAACACGGCCGCTATTCCTTGTCTCAAATTGTTGTCAAAAAATAAGAAGGTACTTCTACTAGTTGATAATTCGGGCATTGTAGTGGATAATCATGGACAGCCCGTTGGTGGTACCCTAGTATTTGGTTGTGCTCCTCATTTCGATTGCTGATTTATCTTCGTACGTGGTGGTTGCTAGCAATGGAAAGATGGAATTATAAGCTTATGTGTGTATGTGTGTGTTAATAAGCTTATATTGTGTAATGTACTAATTTATACTTTGTATTTTTTTTTTTTTGAAGATTGGAAAAGGCAATGTAGGTGCAACAAGAGAATAGGCCAGAACACTTGAGCATCAAAACAAGCGACTACATCTTCTATAACGCCATCATCTATCTATTTTGGTTTTTAGTCTTAATTATATTAGTGATGTATTTATTTAGGGACAAGCTACTATAATATGCGACCTTTTTTTTAATAATTAATTGTGTTGATGTTTTCGTTTATAAATTTGGTAATTTAATTAACTATGTACTCTTATTATTGTTGATTAATTATTTTTTGTTTTTTTTTTGTTTTTTTTTTTGTAATCTGATCTAGTTATATAGAATATTTGTTTACTCTAATTATAATGTTATTAATTAAATTTATGATAAATTTAAATAACTATTGTATGTATGATGGTAATAATTTAATAAAAGGAAAAAAAATAAAAAAAAGCTTAAAAAAAAATTTTAGACGCTTTTTAATGTCTACATATTTTTCATATTTTCAAATTTTAAAAGTTTCACGCCATACCAAAGGCTGACACGAATAAACGCAAGACTACAAAAAGAGTCGCTAAATTTGAGTATGTGGACATGTAAAAGCGTCGCTAAAAACTATACAAAGTTGTGAAAATGCGCGAAATTAGTATTTTCTGACACTTCGTATATTAGTTTAGACACAAAAAAAGCGTCGAAATTCTCGACGCTTTTCTGTGTCCCTCAAAATTCTCGACTCACGGATTCTCGACGCTTTTTAGCAGCGTCGAGAAATTTTTTTTTTTACGCTTTTTAGCGTCGAAATAAGACTTAAAAAGCGTCCAAAAAACAGCTTTTTGTAGTAGTGAGGTGAGTAAAACCCAGGCAAAGGAGAGGCATCTACGTCACCTATTGCAATATTAAGGGAATTAGCCGAATCTGCCGAGGAAACAATGACTGAATGAGTGTCCATGTCCTCCGCAAACTGTGAATCAAAGGGCCTCAAAGCAGAAGAATCCCTAAATATTGTGGAGTTCCGACATAACCACAAACTCCAAAGTGTGCCAACGAGGAACCTAAGCAAGCACTGGAAGGCCCGTCCTGACTAATAAAAAGTTGGATATAATTTTGGATCCAATCTGAGAGAGAAAGGTCTCCATTAAATTCTGAGCGGATACCAAGGCATCCACCCCTCCAAACTAAGCTTGCATTAAAGCACATTCTAAAGAGATGCTGTAAATCCTCGGGTTTTGAATGACAGAGGTCACATGTCATATCTAGAACCGAAACTCCTCTGTGATTAAGCTCCACCTTAATTGCTAGTGCATGATGGAGCAGTTTTCATAGGAACAACTTCCATTTTGGTTGTAACTGGAGAGACCAAAGAACTATCCAGAAAGAAGGAGAAGAAGAAATAGTCGCCTCTGGAGAAAGTTGTCGTTGAAGCACTGTGTAGCTTGTTTTCACCGAATAACTACTCGAACGGGTACCTGCCCAATAACGAAAGTCATCTTGAGTCGAATCAGGTGCTTCCGATGCAAGGATTGCAGAAGCATCCACTGGCACAAATCAGTCGTGCACTTTAGTAGAATCCCAACCCAATGACTGAGGGTGGATGAAAAAACTAACAGTTTGAGCTGCAGAATTAGGCATTTGAATACCGGGTTTTACCCTACGAAATACGGGGTGTTTTTTTTTTGGTTTTGTGTTACACTTATTTTTTTTGGTAAAAATCTATATTTAAATTTCATATCTCATTGTCTATACCCAAATTTATTAATCCCTCTGTATTTTAATAAGTGTCAAACTTTGACTGGAAAAAAAGTACTAGTGCAATTTAGGTGGGGATTATGAAAGAAGAAAGATATAATTTTAAAAATATAATTTTTTGCCAATAAAGAAAATGTAACATTTATAATAACACGGAGGGAGTAATACAAGTACATTTTTGTATGTTTCTTTTCTCTCATATATACTATATACTATTTTTTAATAAACTATTACCGTATTATTTTTGTTTTATAATTTTTTAATACTCCAACCAATAGGTAATAGATGCTTCTACTATGGTCATCCTTATTATAAGCATCATAACTCTAAAATCCTATTGGTTGATTTTCTTTTTTTAAAATACTTGGTCAAACTTCTTTTTAATTTTTTTTCTTTTTTTAGAAAATCATTTCTTTTTTTTTGGAAATTAATTTTTTATTTTTCAAAAATATTTTAATTCATAATTATATAAATTCAGTTTTTAATAAAATTCAAACATAAGATTAAATTAAAAATATTAAAATTAAAAAGTTGATAATCAATTAATTTAATAGTTCAAGTATTCAATGTATTTCTCATCAATTTAATAGTTAAATTTAATTTGCATTGATAATCTAATGAATATTGTTTGATGATAACATAAATATAATTACAAAAGTCAGGCTAATATCCCTAAAAGAAGCCTGAATTTTATATTGAATGCTAGGTATTCCGTATTAGGTATTCATCAATATGCTAGGTATTTAATCTAAAATTCAGGCTTCTTTTATTTTAGATTAAATAAGGTTTTGAAGAAAATATTTTATAGTTTCTTCCAAGATTTTCTTCACATACCCAGATTATCGAAAAAGTGAAAATTTAATATTTACGAATACATAAAATTGTTGATTTCGCATCCCTTGATTGAGATTGTATAATTATATGTACTATTCAAGGATTAAGAAACAACTCAGATTTGCACGAACCCCGATTTCCGAAAACAACAAAAATCATAAATGGTGTGTAAATTGGGGCATGTGTTCATTCTCCATCGATGTGTGAGTGAATTTAAGGGATAAAGATCATAAATTAGTTGGTTATTTCATCCATGATGAAGAACGTTGAAGAACATAAATTGATCGAAGAACAATTCTTTAGTTTTAATTTTTCTAAATTTAACCTTATTTTTGGATTTTGATGTGTGAGACTTAAATCACTCTTAAGATAATATTTTTGCTTTGTTTTATCTTGTCTTATGTTGTTTTGTTCAAATAATCGTGCATTCATGTCTCGATGTATTTTGGTTGAAATTGCGCTTAGCTTGTGCTTGAATGCTTGCCTTTATTGCGTGTTCATACTGTTACTCTACCTTATTGCTTCCCTTGGTGTTTGTGCTTAGGATTTTAAAGAATTGCAAAGAAGAATCCAAGGAAGCACGAGTGAAGAATCGAAGAAAGCAAGGTAGAGGGCGCGCACAAGCGAAGAAGCAGTAAATTAGGTAGCAGCATGTTGCAGCCTTGGCACAGCGGTTTCTGATGTGTTGCGGAAATCTAAGCTTTTGTGTGGGCACGCTGCTCTGTGAGATGGCGCGCACAAGAAGCAAATTTCAAAATGGAGGCAAATCCTATGCATGGTTTGTGCGCGGACACGCAGCTACAATGCGCGGGCGCGTAACGCAACACCAAAGCCGCGCTAGAATATTAATTATAATTCATGGAACATATGGATCAGAGTACTTTTGAATTTGATTGCAGTATACTAAAAACTAGAATATTAATTATTTATAAAACAAATTAAAAATATGTAAATAAATGTTTAAAAATGGTTTATTACTATGGCTTGTTCTTTTCAGCTTAATTTCAGCTCGGCTCAACTCTAATCAGTTTAGTTTAGTTCAGTTCCTAATTTCCTTCTCTCATAAAATATTCAGTTAAGCTCAAATCAATTCAGTTCAGTTCAACTTAGTTTAGTAAATCAGAACAGACCCTTACTCTTAGGGTTTTGAATAATTCAGTATGATTGGCATATATGTCTTACGTCTATTCACATTTACTGAACTGAGATGAACTAAACTGAACTGATTGGAGCTGAACTGAACTGAACTGAACTAAACAGAGCTGAAATGAATATTTTATGAGAAAAGGAAATTAGGAGCTGAACTGAACTGAATTGACCTGGTTGGAGTTGAACTAAACTGAATTGAACTGATTGGAGCTAAACTGAACTGAATTGAAATTAAGCTGAAGTGAACAGGCCTTGATTTTCGATAATAATTAATCCATCCTTATTTAATATTATTTTTACCTTGATTATGCTAAACTAAAACTATTTTTTATTGATCCCAATTTTTTTACCGATTTTTTAATTATATTTGTTTATTGAAGAGTTATACGGATTTTTTTTTATTTTAAGTTCTTAAAGTTACTGATTTTTACAATAAAAAAATTATTTTTGATGAAACAAACTTATTATTATTATATTGAAATTATTTTTTTCCAAATATTACTATTTTAAGATGAAGAGAATAAGGGTTTACTAACTAGGAAAATGAGACAAATTGAAATGGAGATTAGAACAAAAGTTTTGTTGATTAAAAATGAATAAGTGAATAAAGTTAATATATAATAACACTACTAGAATCAGGTTGAATTCCAACGGAATAGTTTTGATGGACACGTAAATCCGTCGGAAATATCAAAATTTTCAACGAATTTTTATTATGTCGGAAATTTCCGACGGAATCAAAGATTCCATCGAAAATTCGTCGGAATATTTTTTTAAGAAAACCCTTATAGGTTAGTTGCCGTTTTGTTGACCACCTCTTTTTTTTTCTCCTTCCCCTCTTCTCCTTTTATTTCCCCTTCTTCTCTCACCTCTTCAATCTGCTCTTCATTCTCCTCTCTCTCCTCAACGTTATCCTTCTCTCTACTCCTCTTCTTCTTGTCCTCAACTTGATCCTTCTCTCTCCTCTTCTCGTTTTGTTTCCTCTTCTCTTTCTCGCCAGATTTTTTCCTCTCTTCTTCTTCTTTCTTCTCCGGCCAACACCCACCATCGCCGCTAAACAACAACACCTATGCCGATAAACAACAAAATCAACACCGCATGAACAACAACAACAACAAAGACATTAACAAGGTTTTCAGATCAAATTCGACCATGAAAACTCTAGATCTAAAATTTGCATGGTCAAATTTGGCTTTATAAACCCGGTTTTTGAGGTTTTGTTCGGTCAAATTAAGGTATTTATCTCTTTTTTCCCTTAATTTTGATTTAATTTTGTTGTTTTTTGCGATTTTTTTTTCAAATTTATGGCGGTGGTGGTGGCGGTTGTTGGAGTACAGATTTTGGGGGTTGGGTTGTCGAGGTTGTGGTGGGTAGATTTGGGTTGTGGTTGGTTGTTTTTTACGTTTTTTTATTGCGGTGTCGTGGTGGTTAGTGGTGGTGGGGGATTAGGGTTAGGGTTTAAATAGGGTGCGAAGGGAAGGAGGTCAGTGGTGGATCTTGGTGGGTGAAGGGAGGGAGGTTAGTTAGGGTTTGGCAATGAGAGCTGATGGTTAGAGTAG